TAGGTGAGTCTCCTATTATAATAGATTCCTTCATTTTCAATGTACAGCCTGTGATAAACCTGAAAGTCAATCTTCTTCCTTGCCAACGTCAATCAGAGCAAATGGTTCAGTTCCTTCTGGATGTTACAGGCTGCCCAGTTTAATCTTTTCTACTGTATGTTCATCTGCGTACAAGAGCAATGGTTCCTGATGCCAACAGCCTTATCTGGGCCTGACGCCAGTAAATTAAAAAAAAAAGCTATTGAGTTAATGTAAAACAAGGGAAGAGCAGGAGAGCAAAAAATGAGCAGGACTATGCAAGGGGGAAAAATGGTAGTGTGAACCTTCTTGGGCTTCCGTAATAGGAGGCCTTCTGACTTCAAACCTTGACTTGTAACCATATTGAGATGTCTCGTTTCCCAAAACTGCTGACCCTACTCCGTTCTCTAATTGTTTCCGCAGAATCTATCTCAAGTATAGAAGAAGGAAAAATATAGTTGTCAGGCTTGAAAAATAAAGGAAATTTAGCCAAATTAGCTCTCAAGAAACAAGATCTTTCTCTGTTCCCCTTGCCGTGTTTGTTAACAGCCTCAAATTCAGGAACCTGGGATAAGGAGATTTCTCAAATGCAACCATTAGTGTCTCTTCTCAGACAAGAGAATGCAATCACTAGCCTTGAAAATCTGCTTAAGTGCTGAACAGGGGCATTTTCTCAAGGACCTGGAGATATCCCTGGAACAATATTGATTTTATTGTTATCACTAATAACTTCTCAGGCACTTCAAATGCATTAATTGCTGTAGGACAGAGGTAGCTTGGAATGATGCTACCACTTAGAGCTTCCACACCAAATGTAGAAAAGAAATGCTGGGTGGGGATTATGGGACTTGAAGTCAACCCACCTAGAGGATGCCAGATTGGAAAAGGCTGATGTACAGTAAGAAGCTACTTATTGTTATTAAAATGAAATGAAATTGTGGGTCTCGGTCATCACACTGTGGGCACACTGGGAAGAAAAAGTCAAATCGACAAACGTTCTTCTGTGGCCCAAGAGAGACAGAACGTTCCAAAGAGAGAAATTACGCCTCTTCAAGGATGTCAGTTGTTTAATCAAACAGATCTCATATTTACACTGCTGTTGGCAGCCCAAAACAATAGTGAAGATTCACTCTCAGGAAGTACAGAGACAAAAATGCAGAAAATAAGGGGACTCCATCAATGGGATCCATGGAAACGAATGACTAAGCATTACTACAAGTACCATATTGGAACTTTCCGAACACAGCATATGTCTTATCTAAAGTACCATGCAATAACATTTATTTACTTCTGCATTGCTCCCCCACTTTTTCTTTGAGATCTTAAAGGGGAGAACTCCAGGGTCTCCTTTTATTTCAAAACAACCCTGCAGGATAGGCTGGGGTAGGAATGACTAGCGCAAAACCACCCCGTGAGCTTTGTGATTAACCAAGTGAAGGGTGGGGGGGGGGGTGTTCCGCCAGGGGAGGGCTAGGCCTTCTGTTGAGAGTGAGGAAATGGGGAAGGGGCTAGGACCTGGGGAGGGCCTGGTGCTGGTATGGAGGGTGGTGGAAGAGCAGAAAAAGGCAAGAGTTGGGTACGAGCACCATGGCCAAACACAAAGAGGAGGAACCACAGGAGACAAGCAGGGGATCTAGACAGCAAGGAAGAGAGCTTAGCAATGCCACATGGAAAGAGGAAGATGACTGGGAGAGAGAGGAACTACTCCAGACTCTTTAAAAGCAAGTGAGCAATTCTGAACATTTTAGCTCTTGTTAGATTCATGGACGAGGCATTCAGAGTTTAAAAATCCAGGTTTTTCAGGCAATCCTGGGCCCTGTTGCACCAGGCCTGGCCAAAGAAATCACAGACTCCAAAGAGCTACCCACTCATGTTTCAACTTCACAGAGGCATGCAGAAGACTCAAGAGAAACGACCCAGTGTCAGAGACAGCAGGGAGCCTGGACTGGTCAACCCATCCAGAAATATTCATACAAGCTCTCCAGAATAAAGAGGTAACATTTATATATCAGTCTGAAGCTACCATCTTTACACAGGAACCATCTAGAAGCCTCTAGAGCCGAGACAGAAATGTGGGAAAGTAACTTAGAAGAAAAATGTGGATGGGTCAAAATATAGGTTAGTGAAGAAGGATCTCCAAGTGATCGGAGAGAAAGTCAAATATTCACAAATTACAGAAATGATGGCCTGTCGCTTGTTTTACTTAAAGCTGGTTTGAGCACTTGACTCTGATCAAAGTCAGTGCAGGTAATGGACGGTGGAAGCCCAACTGCTGATAGATGGAGGGAAGCAGCGATGATTCTTGAGTCTGTCTTTTCTCAAATCAGGGGAACTGTTCTGAGGTAGATTTACATGCAAGAAAGATGGAAACACTGCCAGCTCATCCTGCAACAGCAGAACACTTTTGGAAAGTGGGATGTCTAAGTCATGAAAGATGTCCAAATTATATTGTAGAGGGCCATGCTGCTATTTTGCTGACCGAGGCAGCAAAATTTGACGGTCAAAGCTTTTTTACCGTACGGTGACTTTTAATGGAAGCCAACCTTCTGGTGCTTGGTGTAGTCATCCCTAACCTTAGTCTTGCCTTGTTTCTTTTAACAAATTCCTCTCTCCTACTAAAGCTGGACTTCAGGCATTGTCACGGGATTGATGGGGATCTCAAGGTCATTAATTCTGCAAAGCTTCCTAACAATCCAGACAGTTTGATAGCAGACCCCGTTATAATGGTGGTGAGCTCTCCTGCACTGAAAATGCTTGACCAAGGACCAGACCCATGTTTCTCAACATTGAGATGTGTGGACTTCAGCTCCTAGAATTCTTAGCTATGGTGGCTGGGGAATTCTGGGAGTTGAAGTCCAAGTATGCTGGCTGGCTGGAAAATTCTGGGTGCTGAAGTCCAAGCGTGCTGGCTGGGGAATTCTGGGAGTTGAAGTCCATACCTCTTAAAAGTTGCCATGGTTGAGAAATGCTGGACTGGACAGCCATTTGTTGGCGATATCTGAATTTGGTTTTTTGCATTGAGCAGGAGGTCAGATTCAATATCCCAAAGGGCCCTTTCCAAAGTCTAGCAAAAATGGTAGCATTTAATACAGAACTGAGGAGCGACCATTCACACTATGCAAAAGCACGGTTCAGCAATACAATTTAACATTCCAATCAAACTACTTCCACAGAATCTGCTCGGCAACGTGCAATCTCGGGGGTCACTTCACACATGCATTTAAGAACAGCACCATAACACCTCGTATGCAGGAATGAAAACAGATTGGAGAAAACTTTGGTACCAACTTAAATCACCTCCAACTCAACACTTTTCAGCGGACGCCCACGTATGTATAACTATAGGAAATCAAGTATTTAATAATCAAGTGAGAAGTCAAGTTTCCCTAAGCATTCTCTGGTTTAAGAATATGTCACTGGGGGATCATCACACATTATTTTGCAGTGGGGATCCAATGGTAGAGCTTCTGCCAGATCAAGTAAATGTAACTCACACACCATTTGGGTGTGGTCAATCCCACCACAGCTCAGCACATGGGCAGGTAGAACATGTATCTCCAGCCATGATTGATATCCACCAAGAGGCTGTCAGACGCAGGCGACATCTGTGCACACAAAATGGAAACGGAGTCCAGTCCTCTACTTTCATGTTGTGAATTGGTTTGAGATAACTTCCAATTAGAGGTTTCAGGGTCAGTCAATTCAGTTTCACCTTTTTTTCCTCCAGTCTTATTTGTTCCTTACTTCTTATACACAATTTTGCAATTTTTTTTTAAAAAGGCACACTTTTTGTGGGTCTTACTCCCATTGTGCCTTTTTTTACACACTTTTCCCTAGCATTCTACTTTTTGCCAAGCAATTTTCTCCAGCCTAATGAAAATATAATGCTAAAATGCATTAACCCATGCATGTTTGTGCTCATGTTCCTTCTACTGTTTGAAGAAATGCAATTTTCATTTATGTATTGTTCAGGTACATGTCATTTTTCTCACAATTCAAAGTCACATTCCCCTCATTGCTTAGCTGGATTTAAGTTATTTGAATCAAGCTAACAGACTTAAAAACAGCATCACTCACCTCAATCTCTTTGCCACCCAATTCTTTGTTCTATCATGGATGGAGCCACAGACTCTATAGCTTAAGCCAATCACAATTCTGGGCAAACGTAATCAAAGTAACAACAACATATTTAACATTCTGGAAAGTCATCTCATTTCTCCAGAACAACCAGAAGTTACAACC